AATATAGATCAAGTTTTTAGCCTTATTCTGTATCACAACGGAGTGAGAATGACCTGGGGCAGGAGCCCATTGCAAATACAGAGGCAGTCTGGCGGGGATCTAGGATAGCTACACGCTGATGGGTGGAGAAGCAGATGCTCCTGGGGTGCCCTGCACCCTCCTGCCTGCAGCTGCATGCTTGGGCCTGAGTCCTGCATTCTGGTGCACTCACAACCTCATATATCAGTGCAGGGGGATCAACTGAGGTATAGGGGGGCCATCACAGAGAACATTCCCGTTTTCTGCTACTCTGTCCTCTATTGATACGAAACCTGATGCCTTTGTGTCCTCTATTTTTCTCTTAAAAAGAAAAATATTTTCTCTTGAAGGGAAACATAGAGGACATAAAGGCGTTGGGTTTCGTATCAATAAAGCACAGAGGACATGGCCACCCTACTTGAAACCAGGGTTCAAATTACACTTGGACTCTTGAGGGGGGTCTGCAAAAAAAAATTAAGCTGGTTCTTTGATTGATAAATCTACCTATGTGAAGAAGCAATCCCACCGGAGACCCCTGTTATGATTTTCAAGTCTGACAGGGGGCTTTCGTCTCTTATGCGGGGGGAGCAGTCCCCAGCCCCCCCATTATTTTGCAGCTGCGTGAGACCCCTTGGCACGGCGGGGCCGTACTCTTCTTCACCACGGTCCGACACTGCGGCTCTCAGCCTTGTGGACCCGGACTCGGACCCGGGGGAAAAGCGGCTCAGCTTCACCTTGTGTTGCCGGGGCCGGACCGGGCCTCTGCCCGCAAGCGGCGAGCGGGACTCACGCACTACCGCCTCACGGGATCTCGAGGATCCCGCACAGCCCGGCCCAAGCCTGCCGGCGCCGGACGACGTCCTCCCCACTGCCACCCGGGCGCCGGGCCGGGGCGGGGTTTAGTTGCGCCATCGTCAGGCGCCGGTAGCGGGAGGCGGCGGCGATGGCGGTTACCCGCGCCGGGCTCCGGACGCTGTGGCCCCGCGTATTTCTTAGCGGCGGCCCGGGCTTGTGCCCCCGCCCTGCGGTGAGTGAGGGCCCTTGGCGGGGCGGCAGGGAGGGCCCGGCAGCGCGGGGAGGCGGTTGCAGGCAGAGCCCGGGCGGCCCCTTGCAGCCCCGCGCGCTCGCTGTGCAGGAGCCCGGGGCGGCCCCTTGAAGAGCCACCAGCCACACGCCGGTGGTGGCCTGCCCCGCTGCCGCCGCGGGGGCTTTTGGCAGCAGCCCCGGATCCGTATTGTTGGGGGAGAAGAGCAACGTTGCAGCGAGGGAAGTTGAGGTCGGATACCAGGGAAATGTTGCTTGCTGGCAGGGTGGTGAAGCACTGGAGCAGGCTACCCAGGGAGGTGGTGGTGGGGTCTCTATCCTTGGAGGTGTTTAAGGCCCGGGTGATGGAGTTGGGGGTGGTTTTGTTTTGAGCAGGGGTTGGACTAAGATCTCCTGGGGTCCCTTTTCAGGGGGAGTCTTCTGTGAGCCTCTGGTTTGTGTGGCAGTAACACATCTTGATGTAAGCCTGTAACACACTGTTTTTCTTTTGAAGTCATCAAATACCAGCGATGAGTTCTTGAAAGAAAAGCGTGCTCAAATCATGTCTCGAGGACTTCCAAAACAAAAGCCAATAGAAGGAGTTAAGCAGGTCCTGGTTTTGGCTTCTGGTAAAGGTGGAGTTGGAAAGTCAACAACAGCAGGTGAGATTTTGTATTTAGTCTGTTACCTACTCTTTATTGCCTATTACAATGTTATAATAGGCACGTAAGCTATGTGTTTATAGGTAGATGTATGTAAAAAAAATACCTATTGTAGAGGGCCAGTCTCAAAATAAAGTGTGTTTAATAAAAATAAGGATGCTTATAATAATTAAAGATATACTATTATTAGTAAAACTAAAGAGGTTTTGGAAAAGATGTTACTTTTTACCACTTCGTAATTTTGCATTTCATTTCCTTTAACGTAAAACAGTGAAACAAGACAGGTCAGTTTCACTTCTGTATATCCTGCAGGACTTTAAAAGGCCACTGTTAACTTCAAAAAGTTCACAAAGTTTGATTTTTAAATGTACTGTTACACAAGTAACACCTCTAATTACTGCAGTAAGAAGAGATTAGAGGAAAAAACAAATCTTTCTTTTCAGTTTGTTTTCCCTGTGTTTTTCCCAGTACTTTGTAGTCAGTTTCGGTGTGTACCCTGTATTGTTCATGTGTCCTGACCTTTTAGTCAGTTGAGCTCCTCCTGGGTATAGAAATCCATCTTCATAGATATCATGTCTAGGAGAAATAGCTAAATTAGGTCTCAGTTGCACAAGTAGCTTACTGTAGACTGACCTCTGCATGCATGTGGAGACTCATTGACTTTTTGGAGGGGGGCAAGGAGAGGTGGGGAGGGGATCTCTTCGCATGCGTAAGCTTGCAGGATCAGAATCAAGGTCAGTGTTTGTTTCGTTGATTCCCATTTCCCAAAACAAAACTATAGCAAAATCAGGAATTGGGAAGGGGCTTCATGAGCACCTATAGTAACTGAAACAGCCTTGACCCATTTCTCCAAACCGCTAATTTTCAATAACTTATGTTTCTTTAACTGTATGATTCCTGGAAAGTAGAATGATTGTTTCATGTGGTTTGAGAGCAATGCAATAGTTTAACATTAAAAAATAGTTGAAATTAAAACTACTTTGAAAACACTTGTTTTTATTTGAAAACACTTTAATATTAAGTTTTCTAAATCTATCTGAAAATCTGTTCTACAAAATCCAAGTTAAGAACCTTTAACAATGCTGTCTGTTAAAAAAAAATTATAAACATCTTGAAGTCTTTTGATTGTTTTTAAATAAGAGACCTACACAATGCTAATTAATATGTACTTGCTTTTTTGGTTCATATTTTGGATTACCAGCATGGAATGTCTTGGTAAGACCTGACATAACAATAAAACAAATGCATACATACATTTGGGATGTCATAGTGGTTCGATCTTAAAATATAGTTTGTTTGTATTACTTCATTGTAGATTTCATTTCTCTCCGGATATAAAAACTTGAAAAAAATCACCTTGTATATTTCTTTACAGCATGCTTGTGGCCAATTATAATTCAGTGCTTCTGTTAGATTATCGATAGTTTGGTTTGTAAAATTGACTTTTAGCAATAAAAACAATTATATTGATATGTCCAGAAATGAAAAAGCCAAATTCATGGCTTTTAATTCCTAAGTAAAACCTGTTCAGTTTTTTGCGTGTATGTTTAAATATGATAGAGGTTGTAGTTCTTTCAACATATAAAGGGTTTGCCAAGATATATTGACTTTTAGCAAAGTATTAAATGAAAGAGAGCTCTTAAGTTTCAATTTACTATGTACCCAAGAAATATTGTGCTGCAGAGAGATTCTTGTTGTAGTGCATGTTGCATGTTTTTACTGAGGAAAATAAAACATTGGACATTTGTCAAAATGAGAAATTTTGGTATTAAGATGAACATGTAAGGGTCAGGTAGTTGGTTTGAATGACAATTCTGCATTGCATCACTGTTTAAATATAAAATTAACTTTCTTTTAAACTTGTGTTATGTTCCTTTTGTTAATAGAGGATTTGAAGAGAGATTGATTTAGACCAGTGATTCTCAACCAGGGTGCTGGAGTTAGGTGTACAAACATGACTAACAAGATGGATAAGATGTACAACCAGAGGCCGTGTCCAGAGGAGTGCAAACGTTTGTTTCCCTGGGGACAAATAGCAGCAGCACACCTTGTGCCATGTGTGCTCTGGCATATAGCAGGTTACCCTGAGTGGGGTATTCCTGCAGCAGGGAGCCTGGCTGGCACCTGGAATGTGGTGCCAGCCAGCCAGGTTTTGGGTGGTGTATGCTACTGCCACTTGCACTGCTCCACTTGTTTTTGGCATGTGGTGTGCGGTTTTTTGACCCCAGGATCTCCAGGGTCAAACCGTCTCCCCCCTCCCCTGTGTTGCAAGGTAGTGGTGCGGGGAATGCCTGCATGTGTGGTGCATGGCACCACAAACAGGTGTGCGGTGTCACATACTGCACATCCGTGTTCATCTGGATGTGGCCAGAGGGTGTGTCCCCACAAGTGGGAATGTGTGTTCCCTAGGGGCAACTGGCAGCAGCACTTATTTGTGCTGTTGCTATTTGTCCCTGGGGAATGCCCCTGCATACATGCTCTGGAGTGCAGTAAGTTGCCCTGGGTGGGGTAGGGGAGGCTGCACCAGGACCTGAGTCCAGCTGCAGCTGTTCCTCCCAGCAGCCTTGCCTGGGGTTCTGGGGGCCTCCTGGGGCTCCAGTGGTGGTGATCCTGGTTTGTGGAGCCTGGTAGGTAGCCAGAGCATAGGTCTGGCCAGTCAGGCTCTGGTTTTGGGCTGCACACACTGCTGTCACGTGCACTGCCCCAGTTTTTCAGGTCTTTTGATACTGGTGTTAGAAACCCCCCTGCTGTGCTGCAAATTAGCGGCATGGCAAATGCCTGCCTGTGCAGTGCATGTGGTTTGTGGCACTGCAGACAGATCTGTGGTGCTGCAGGCTGCACGTGCATGCTCGTCTGGAAGTGCCTAGAGGGCGCGTCCACATATGCAGGCATGTATGCTGGCAGCAGCTCAGATAGCGGCACAGATTTATGCCAGATTTGTGCCTCAGCACACGTGCCTAAACGTACACTTTGGTGTGGGGCAAGTTGTGCCATTTGGGGCAAACTGACCCTGCCAAGCTCTTCTCGGATCTTCATTCAGGGGGAGCTAGAGGCAGTATAAAAAGCTGCCCTGGTGAGCAGCTCACGGCTACTTGCCCATAGGAGCTTCTGTGGCCTGGCCAGCTAATATCTGGGGATGCTACCCTCTTGTGCCAGCTGGACTACTGAAGTAGCCCTAATCTAAAGTGGCCATTGCACTGTCTACTCACTGCAGCAGTCTGCCTATGGGGAGTGCTGCCTGGCTGTGACCTGCTGTCAGCTGCAACAGCATCTGTTCCCTTGGCTGCCACCTGCTGCGGCCCCATGGCTGCAAGCCTGCCAGACCTGTAGCAGAGCTGCCTGCACCTCTGGGCCATCTGGCAGTGAGCGGTGGCCTCACAGTTGGCCTTCAGGCGGTACTGCTGTCGCATCTTCTGGTGTCCCTGCTCTGCCATCTGGGCAGCTATCACCCAGAAGATGTGCTCTTTGGTGACCTACTTTGAACTGTCAAAGCATGTCCTGGTCCCAAATGGCCAGGGAGTCAGCCACCTCATTTGCCATCCATCTGGGTCCCCACTGCTGGCCCTGGGCAGGCTCCTGTGCCTGGGTCCCGCCACTTGCCTCGCTAGCAGAGATCCTGGTGTTCCCTGTTTAAAAATTGCAAATTCTCTGAGTAACACTCCCCCCTTAAATTCTCTTACTCATATACCCAAAATCCATGTTCTTCCACAATTAAAATGAAATGCCACTATACATAGATCAGTTGAGCCATGTTTTAATGATCTATTTACAATTTTAAAGCAACTTGGAATTTGCCTCTATCATCATCATAAAATGAATTCTAAATATCTATACACTTTGGCATTTGCTTTTTTTTTTTTATCATAAAAAAATCAGAGCTGCTCCTGTTCCCGTTGCTCACCAGGATGTGGGGTGCTGAGCAACACTATTATGCTGGTGTCCTGCCCGTACTCTTAACCCAGAGCCCTACTAGTGCCTCTCACTCCTGACCAGCAGCTCCTGCCTGCTCCCACTAGCTCCCTCCTGGTAGGAGTTCTGTCCCAGCACCAGGACATGAATCCAGCTGCAGCTGTTCCACCTGTTGCTTTGTGGCTCTGAGTAGTGCCCACCTTTGCTATTCTGTTCCCTGTGCCTGTGCCTAGGCTCCAGCAATCCCCATGCTGTTTCTGGGAACCCTTCAAGTCAGGGTCTGGGCTGGACAAGCCCCTTCCCTACCAGGCCAGCCTCCCACTGCACAGGCTGATCAAAGGGAAACATCCTACCTGGAGTGCTTCCCCATCCCTGACCCCCATCTCTCTGTCTCTTGCACACACCCCTGCTGCCACCTCCTCCTCTCCCCTCAGCCCATCACACACCCAAGTGGTTCCTGGGACCCGGAGCCATCCAGGCAGGGGCCACATGTCCAACCACTGGTGTGGGTACAGGGCAGGGCTGCAGTGTGGTAGTGGGTGGGTTTGGGGAGGTTGTGAGTGAATAGGGGTTGGTGTGGGGTTTGTGCTGGGGTTTGGGGTGGTGTGGGGTATGTGGGTGGTGGGGTTTGTGGGGGGTAGTTTGGGGGTGCAGGGTTTGTGGGTGGATTCTCATGGAGCTTATGGGTGTGGGAGGGACTGCTCAGGAGAGGTGGGTCCCCTGCATGGCGTACAGCCCCCCCTTGCAGCAGCTGCAGCGGCTGTTGGGGTGCTCATGCCTCCTCCTGGCAGAGACCTCTTGGCGCATTGCTAACTCAGACCCAGAGCCTGTACCTACTCAGGGAGCACCAGGCTGGCGCTTTCTGCCACCTGTGGCTCCCGGCGTCACATGCTATTGATCCAGGTCAGCTCGTGCCTCCACGTGCCCTTTGGGCTGGACCGGGCTGGCTCCATGCAGGCAGGACCCGGCCTGGCCTGAGGGTGCATGGCCACTGTCTGGTGCCAGGGGTCCTAGGTGACAGCAAGAGTGGCCCGGTCCTGCTTGAGGGCCTGTGCCAGTGGACAGGGCCAGCGCCATGTGCAGCCCCTGGGTCTAAGGCGGTGCTGTACGCTGCCAGGGGGCTGTGCCTGCAGCGGGCCATGAGCATCCCAACGGCCATT